TTACTACTGTTTTTCTCTTTCTTTGTAAGTATTAGTATTGTTTCTATTCCTCTTAATAGTATTTCTCCATTAACCTATTTTTTCTACCGGCCTAATTTGTTGTATCTCAATTTACAGTACCACTCCATCCTATATATCATAATTTCTTGACCCTAGTCTGATGCAATCCTCTGCAGAGAAAGAGAATCGAGCATTAGCGATTCTTTCATTTCTTAATCTGATGTGCTGCAAGATGCAAAATTCATCAACTCAAGAAAGCGAGACTAATAAAGTTAAAAGTCACCTGATGGCAAGACGGCGCCACTTAGAATCTGTAGTCGTTTGTACTGCTGCCTCATGCCAATGATACGATCGATCACGAAGATCGCTATTGGACCCAAAACATAATAGACAAATTTTGGACTCTAAAAATTATTTAAGATTTCGAAAATCTACAAGGAGCAACAAAGTCAAATACTAATTACAATTTGAAATCTAGACCTGTCTTCTACACTCATATACTAATCCGTAAATTTAACATTGAGTAAAATAGGTTGATGGCATAGCGAAGCGATAAGCAGCGCTGTTGCTGTACAGCAGGTCAAGGGTTCGACTTCGTCACTAGGATCTGCCGTTCGTTTCGATGGCAAATTGCTACAGGCAAGTCGTCATCATCCTGCTTGTAAAAATAACCGAGAGTGGGAGCCATTCAGAACTTTGCTAGCGAGTGGTTACTGCTGGCAATTGTTGTCGCTCGGACTAATTTTTAATGCTTCCGCCTCTTTTAGTGAGCGAATGTGAAGGAGGTCTGATGTAAGTTGGAAAACTGGTCTGGAATCTTCATGACCGACAGCGTTTTTGTCATCCGCATCCAATTACTAAATGTAGTTACACGGATCTCAAAACCGTTTCTCGCAAATTCAGTGAATGTGAAGCGTGGATTTGATAAATATTTCCAAAAAAGAAAACTGAACAAACATCGAGAAGTTTTGGCAGCCCGTGAAGTATGGTAAGTGCATAAAGGAGGATATTTAGCAGATGCGTGATTTTGAATGCATGATATGCT